GAACTTAAAGGAAAAGAAAACAGGCCTTAGATACTTACCATTTCCATCCTAAATCAGAAGGTAAGGCCTTTCTAAGATTCTCAGTCTACTGATACCCTGTCCTTGGGTGTCTTCGCCTTTAAAACAGTGAGAAATACATTTCTGTTGTGAATGAGGCACCTAGTTTCTGGAAGGTCTGAGACTTGCAGAGATAAGCTCCAGATCCCAGTGATCTCAGAGCTGATTATATGAACATGGTTTCCTTGAGGCTGAGCAGTATTCTCTCTCGACTTGCAGGTTTTGATGTTTTTTGTTTTTTGTTTTTTTTTTTGCTTTGCTGCAGTAAGTTCACATTCTGTTTATAGGGGATTCTCAGCTCTTCATCCTAGTCTAGAGACATGTAGTCTCTAGATGGCAAAAATATTCTTTTGTTTTATATGCATACTTAATGCAGGGCTTGACACAAATACCCAATAAATATAATTAATGTTAATAAACAAAATGAAATATGTATTGAGAAAACGCCTTTGGCAGATAAAAAGTTTTCGTAGTTACTGGAAACTTCATGCTTAACTAATTTCATTTAATCTTAGCAAAGCCCAGCTATGAGGTAGCTGGGAAGAAGACCTTAGAGTCAGAGAACAAAGAATGATGGCAGAAGGGGCTAGAACAGTGAATATGTTAGCTCCCCATTGCAGAAATGAAATCCTCTATCTAAACAAGTGGAGACTTATTTAGCTTCTGGGTTCCAGAGATCCGTGGTCCTTGGTTTCATTGATGTAAGGGGTCTGGTGAGGCAGAACCTAATGGTGGCAGGAGCCACCTACTTTATGAACAGGGGTGAGACACAGTGAGGAACATATGATAACCTCTAAGGCATGCATGTGTTCCCTGCCTCATTTACTCCAGCCATGTGATGATTCCCAAAGTTTCCACCACTTCCCTAAATAGCACCACCATTTGGGATTCAGTCCTTCAACACACAAGCCTTTGGGGTGTATTCCATGTTCAAACCATGGCAGTGAGCTAAGTGGTGTACTAAACTATACTCAATAAACTTCATTTGCTTTATGTGTTTAATTTTAGGGCCAATCCCCTAAGCTGTGATACTGTGTCTCTACATGCATCCCAGGGTGGGAACTTCTTTTCTTGTCCATTTAGAGACTTGAAGTTATTGATTTAAAGGCTTATTCACTAGATGGTGCTGCGTTTTCCTTTCTGTCCTTAGGGTTATGAAGGTAATTGCTATGCAAATATCCCTTAGAGACACAGCTAATCCTTGCCCTTCCTCAGAGCTACAAGTGGTTGCAAACATGATAAGTTTCTGTTTCTCTTTAACAAAGGACATCATGACCCTGTGCTAAATCTGTATCAGTTTCTTTCTCCAACTCTGAGTTCTGAAAGCTCAATTTAGCATCCAAAAAAGAAAAAGAAAAAAAAAATCGAGCCATGTTCTTCCCTTCTGTACCCTCATTATCAACAATGAAGAATCGAAGAACAAGTGTTGGCTGGAAATTTCACCATAATGCATTACAGAGCAGAACTCAGACTTTTTGTCATCTATAAGGTCTCCAAGTGATTGACAAAAGCAGCTATTTTTCGGCTGAAACACAGATGGGAGAGAAAGTTGGCATGTTTAGTGAAGCAGGTCTACTCATCCTACATCTGGGGGTGCTGCAGGTAACTCATACATGTTAATGACAAAGGATGATCCTTCTCACTAAGAAATGTGTATGTAGTCATGCAATTGGCCTTTGCTCCCTTATCCTACTAAATATGCACCACAAACGGTGACCTTCTGATGCATCAAATGGGAGAGGGACAAACAGTTCTTAGAAGACTCGGCAGGAGCACTTTTGTACTTTGTGTTCCCTAGGAAGGTTTCTATGCTCTTTAGACAAATCTGATCCTTTACTAGCATTCTATTCTGATGTTTATGACATCCAGGAAGGCAAGAAGAATCTCAGAGCCTTCATCTCTAGAGATCAGGAGTCAGAAACTGATGGCCTGTGCCTGGACCACATCCAGCAAACAAATATTGATATTTGGCTTGTGCAGTGTGCAACTGCTTAAAAATGATTTGAACTACTTGCCAAAATTAAAAGTCAGGAGATTTTCACATAACAAAGAAATCTGAGTTTTAGTTCTTTCGATGAGAAGTCTACATTTTGGCACTGCTGGCCTGGTTTTCTACATGGCAACTGGAGTCGGGTAGCCTTTGTGGCTTCTAGAACACTTTCCCTTTGTGGGAGTTAGAAAAAGACATGCCTTCAGGCGTATGAGTTGTGAGTTTGCCTCATCAGAAAGCCTACATGTAACAGCTTTGCCACAACTGCCACCACCTGCTTAAGCTGTTTCTCTTCTGTCTGAGCCCTTCAGACATTTAAGATTGTGACTACTGCCAAAGCCTTTGGAGGGAGTTGCTGCCTGCAGTGCACACCTTGTTGAGTGAGTGCTGGCCTAGAGAGCTTTCTTTGATTTCTTGCCCATAGAGACAGGGGTTCAAGCATTCTTTTTGACCTAGCCCCCGTTTTTCCTTAGGAGATAGCTTCACGGTATTGTAGAAATTACATCCATCAGAAGGGCTGCATACCATCATGGCCCACCAACTTCCAAACTCCCCCTTCCAACCATGTGCTAATTTTGCTCTTCTTGTCAGCCTATGAGAGAGAGTATCTGAGTAGATCATAGCAATTTCTCAGGAATGATGGTGGAGTATGATTCCCATAACACAGAGCTTGAGGCAGACCTCATGAGCCATCTTTGAAGGAGTAACTTACAGGATCTATCTCTTTTAGCAGCTTACTCTTATTAGACCCTCCCCCAAAGTGAGCCCTGCAGCCCCTGGTAACAGATGACAACAAGGACCTAAAGAGCCCCTCTGTGGTCTTAACAAACCTGAGAATAGTTTTCCAGAATCCATCAGCTGTGTGTTTCAAAGCACTGAAATGATAGTTATGAGGATTGTTTATGAAGTGCAGCTGTCTATGATGCTGTAGGAATGATAAAATGGGGTGATTGCTAGACCATGGAGAGCTTATAAAACAATTCACAGTAAGCACTATTATGTCATAGCTAGGAGTCTGTCTAGCAGGATGGATTTCAGATTGGGATTGGACATTGGAACTATTTACTAGTTAAGTTAACTTGGGCAAGCCACATGACTGTAGACCTCAAACAAAAAGTAGTTAGTCCCTGTATCCATAGTTCTGCATCAATGGGTTCAACCATAGACCAAAAATAACCAGAGAAAAACAAACAAACACTTAAGTATTAAGATATATAGACCTTTTTTTCCTTGTCTTTACTTTCTAAACAATCAGGCATTACAATTTTTATGTGAAATGTGTACCTTGTTAGGCTCAGCAGTTAAGGGTACTTACTACTCTTGCAGAGGGCCCAGGTTCAGTTCCCAGAATCCACAGCAGACCTCTCACAACCACCTGAAATTCCAGTTCCAGGGGATCCACTGCCCTTTGGCCTTGGCAGTCACTTGCAGACACATATCACCAGCTAATACAGGTATACACATACACATAAATAAAAATAATGAAGAATTTAAAAATGTGTGTGTTATATTAGGTAATAGTAATCTAGGGGGGAAATTAAAGTTATATAGGAGGTTTGCATAGGTTATATGCAGGTACTGTGCCATTTTATAATATTCTTGGATTTTGATATCCACAAAACAGAGTGTCCAGGACTGCATGCCACAGATCAGAGAGACACAGTATCCATGCAATTAAATGAGAACACATCAAATGTTTAAAAATGTCTGGAGTCCCTCCTTTTTACCTTACCACCTGGAGTAAATTAACCACCACATCTCAAGTCCTGACTCTATTAAAATGGAGGAGAACCAGTGCTTTCCCAGTAGGATTTTCAATACAGGAGCTCATGCTTGTATTAGGCACACAGAATTGCTGGATGTAGGGGTACTCAACCTGAAGTCAAGGGAACTATTAAAAATATTAGTTCTTTCCCTTCTTTTTTGTGTGTTCTGCACAAAGCACTTAAGGATTGAGGCAAATGAAAGAGAGTAAAGGTTGCTTTGCTCTATAAATATTTAACAAATTGATTTTTACAGTGGAAAGTATATAAATATATGGACATCAAGCTGGTCACTAAAGGTGTGACTTCTTAACTGGGAAGTTTGTATACAGAATTAAAAATAATTTTAGGCTTTCAGATACTGCAAGATAATGCAATGGTTAAAATAAAGAATAAAGTACCTTTAATAGTGTGAGTTTTCTGCCTGTTCCCTTTAGGAATGAGTTGCTGGCTACAGAATTCTTTATCTGGACACCTGGATCAAACAGCTCACAAAGGTCGCAATGCCAATTTCATCGACTGCGTGTTTTGCAGTGCAGGAGTCTTGGGTTTTAGGGAAGGACTTGTGGTTGCTATGGAACTGTTAATAATGATTGCTGCCTGCACCTCCATTCTTCATACTCCCAATCTCCAATATAAAATCACTTAGATTTGGGCTGTAGGGCAGTAAACAAACTTTCGAGCAGGAATTAACTGGGCTCAGGCATTAGTGTCTTAATGTAGGAAATGACTTTCATTATAACCTTTACTTAACACTGGCAGCTTGGCTATGGAGGGAACTCTAGTTTTCTCATAGTGGACAGAACCGTATGAAGCCCAAACTTCCCAGTGGATGGGCATTGCTGGAGTAGAGGTTTTCAGCAGAAAATTTTGCTGAAGAAGCATGAATTTGTGCAGGACTAATTGTTATCATCAGTCTGATTTTATTTTCATATATAAAAGGAACTGGTAATTAATAATAAAAAAACTGGATTCCTAAGTAAGAGAAAAAGTTTCCTGTTGAAATATCTATCTATAAATTTAAAAGAAATAGGTCTTCTAGAAAAATGATGTTTGTTTGATCATTTTTGTGAGATTTGTAATCCATATAATAGAAGAATCTTACTACTGAATTTTGTTTCTAAGGACTACTTATTAATGTGTAACTGATACTAGGGGAACACTAATCAAGTTCTTGAGCTCCAGGCACACAAAGTTAGGAATGGTTTATTGGATGGATGGGAAGAAGACATATCTAATTTGGGGACTTCACAGCCTCACCAGTATGCAAATAATTCAACAGTAATACAAAACAAATAGGTTCCATCGCCACAGATGCTGCTAGCTCTAATCCCTATGGTGTGTGTTTCCCAACAATTATCTGGCCTAATTCTCTGTTTTATTGCTTTGGATTTTTAAGCTTCGACTGTGGAACATAGAATAAATGTGGAACATAGAATAGATGTTCCTATGCAGTTTCCACTGACAAGCATCTAGTGTATAGGAATAAATAAAGTAATTTTGCAGTGGGAGGTGGAAATTTTTCATGGACTATGGATCCCCCAACTCATCAGCCACATTAACTGGCAGTCACTTTGTAGAAGGTGGACCAAGCCTGCTTTGAGTGCCATGTAAAGGAGTCTATGGCACAGCAGGGGACAGAATGTATTTGAGTGAACAAACTGAATAAACAGCTCAACAGATTCAGGATTGCAGGGCTACTGAGGGTATCATAAGTCCTGGTGCAATACGATCAAATGCAGATGGCACTATCAAATTAATCAAGCTGCTGCAATAAATCCAGATGATATAGGGCTGGCAAGGTGGTGTCAAGAAAGTTAAACTTGAAGAATGAGTGTTGGATTTCTAAATGAGATCAAGGGGAAAATGAAAGCTGAGTTAATAGGGGAAACAAGACTGAAGCCATCAACATTACTGTTACATTCAGAAAACATCTTGAAATCAGTTCCTTCTGCCTGCAAGATCGTTTGGCCAAACAAACTGACATTGTTATATACTTCTTATTTTTTTGGTTTATTTAATCTTATTCCACACAGGCATTGTTAGTTCAACAGTTTGGTATTTGGGGTTACATTTATTGCCACATAGGAACACAGGTGAATAGGCCACACCATCAATACACTGTATTCATCTCATCCCCCTTCTTATAGTCAGAGACAGCTTGTGACTGCTGCTTAGCATCACCTGGCCTGTCAGATCACTTGTGGTACTGCACACTCAGAGGAGAGTCCAAGCCCCAGTCTCCTTAACTGTAATTAACAAAAACATAGGCATTTTGTAATGAAAAAAGATAAAGCAACTTTTTAGTATGTTAGACAGAATGAGCATACACATTACATGAAACACTAGCATGCTTTTAGAAGCTAAAATACATTACTATCCTGTGAAATTAATGTATAAACAAAATATTACTTGGAATGACATTACCATTATGTTTATAAAAAAGGGAAAACTGAAACTTTGTCTTCCTAAACATGCAGGTTTGAACACCTTATAAACCTATATCATATTTGGAGTGGAAGCATCCAAGCTGGCTTGTTCTACCTTCTATGGAAAAAATATTAAAGAATCATGTGACTGGCTTTCCCATAACATTCTACTGATTACAGACATATTATTTCAATGTTAAAGATATAATGTCCTTTTAAACTTCTTCACAGGAGGATGTGTTCTACCATTTATTCAGCAAGAAGAACCACAACTTTTGTATCAGGATATCTGGTTATACTATTTAATACCAGACTATGAAAATATTGGGAAGATAAGACGTATCCTTGCAAGGCATATGAACTTCTTTCGTATTGTTATCTAAAGAGCAAAATAGATTTTAAAATGTCAACATTTCACCTTTTAAGCACATCCTTTTTTCCTCCTTGTCATTATTCTTTTTGGCATTCTTTCTTTTCCATTTCACTCATTTTTCCAATTGTCCCACCTTAGTTTTCTGGCCTAATAGTCCTCATGCTCTTTCCTGACCATTATAGCCTTTCAATCCCCTCACTTGTAATAAACAATGGCTTCTGGGAGGGAATAATCAGCTGAGAATTCTGCTCTATCCTTTTTAATTCTTTTCCCTTAAAATACAGAGTTATATCCTCAGCTTACAGACTTATGTGTACTGTATATCATATATTTGAAGAATAATCATTCATAGACTATGGTAAGAATTCACTATATTACTGCTACACTATTCAGCAAGGTGATAGAATGACCAGGAAAAAAAATCACATTTCATGACTACTGTCTTAAATATCCTGTAGTTTTTTTCTTTTGTTGTTGTTTTTTGTTTCTTTTTTTTCTTTTCTTCTTTTTTTTTTTTTTGACTAAGCCAAATAGATTGGTGATTTTTAATTGCTCCGTTTCTTTCGTCTTCCAATCGTGGAGAAATTCTACACAAACAGAACCTAAGAGCAATTTGAAAGTGGAATCCCTAGCAGTTTGCTTCCTCGATCCCATGTATATCTGAGGGTACTGTATGACCAGCAATTATGGCCTGGACAGTCATAGCAGGGAGCAGGCAGAGATGGAGAGGTGCAGAGGTGGTTAATGGGATGCAGATACTATCAAGCCAGTACTGGGTTTTGCAACTGGCCCAGGGTTCTGGCTGTGCACTCAGGCAGTCTGGTCCACATGCAGCACAGCCGGCTGGACCTGTTTCTCACTAGATCCTTCCATCTCTTCGGTGTTGAGCAGGTAGCTGCTTTCATAGCGCACCTGCTGAGCCTGCTGCAGGCCCACCGACTCCCCTTCTTCATCTTCCATAATGGTCAGGTCAGCGTTGCTGCCCACACCGGAGTTGTTCCCTTTCGAGGCTGACTTCTCACCATCTTCTGCGCTGCCCTCCGCCAGGCCGCTGGGGAGGGATGCTTCGGAAAGATTCTCTGTGAAAGAGCCCTCCTCACGGTCATTCTGCATCTGGTCTTCTAACTTGGGCTCGTTTTCTGCAGAGCTTTCTCCCTCTCGGACTTTCTTCCTACCAAAAGAGAGGGGAGAAACCTTGAAGGGGGAGCTTTTCCCTGAAGATGCTTTCTGGTGGTTGGGTGTGAGTGACTTCTTAATCTTTTCTCTCCTCTCAACAGACACGATCTTTGTCCCTAGCTTGTTCATCTTTTTCTCGATGTTCTGGCGAGAAAACGCCTTCTTGAGGCTATCCACTTTCCTCAGGCTGGATCTCTTTATTTTCTCTGCCCTGCTTTCTTCCAGCTTCTCTTCTGCGCTGTCTTCCAGGGCTTCCTCATCACCAGGCAGTTCATCATCCGAGGAGAGGTCCACGTTGTGCAGAGTGTCCTCCAGGGACTTGTTCTCCTCAGTGAGCTCCTCTTTGCCTTCTGCGGTCCCGGGAATGGGCTCCTTCACAAACACACTGGCAGGGATCTCACTTTCTTCCTGAAAAGAAAGGCAATGTGGTTTATGATAATGGCATATTTTACAAATAGTCCCGAACTGCTGTAGTTTGGGTTTGTATTTTGGGCAATGGAAATGATAGAAACAAAGTGCGGCTTCGCTTTCTAGAATAGGAAGCATTCATTCCCGTTTGGGCCCAGTCATCCCCCTCACCCTCCTTGGGCTGGATAAGGCCAAGGCCTGCCAATGGGAGTACCATGAGGATAGCTGGGGAAGACTATCGGTGACAGGCAGAGGGAAGTGGCCTGACTCATATAGGCCAGGAAGCTGTCTAGATAAAGAAACTAAAGTAAGTGACAGCTTTGTGAACCCAGAGGCCTCCTTTCATACTCTTCGTTCTGGTCAGGGGGCACAGCTTCTGTCACAGTTTCCCTACAGATGTGCCCCAAGTTCAAGCTGGAAAATACAAATGTAGGCAAAGGAGAGCATTGAGGAGTTCTTAAGTGATGGACAGCCCAGAAGGCTTGATTAGGTTTCTCCTCCTACACTGGGCATTAGAGGGGATGGTTGGATCCACTATTATGACTAGTATCAACACACACACACACACACACACACACACACGTATGCACACAAATACACATTCACACACATGTACATATACACATATGCATATGAATAGAGATACACATGCATATACACACATACATACACATATACACATAAACACACACACCAGTTTTGGGTGACATAATTGAGGATTAGCCTTCCCAGTGCCTGCTCATAAAGCCATGTGGGTCAGGATGTGTTTTGTGGGAATCAGTAAGGGAGCAAGATGAGGTAAAATGTGTGAGCAGACATGGTGTCAAGCCTCTAGTATGAAGTGTCTTCTTTGGGCAATGAAGTTCTGCCCTCACCTTCAGCAAAGAGTGAGGAGAGAAGCTGGGGAAGAAGCCACCCTCTTCGGGGTCCCCATCTTCCCTGTCTCTAAGCCCTCACGTAGGCAAGTGTAGCCTCTCACAGGGTCTCAGGCAATGGTAGAGCCAGAAAAATTTATCTCCAAAGTACAAAGTTGCTCACTGAGAGATTTGAATATGACAGATTCAGGCCACACAGTATAAGAGCACCTTAGAGTTTAAGTGTTTTCTTTTTTTCCACTGCTACACAACAATCCATTATCATGGTACTCTCAACGTTTTCATCGGAGATAATAGCACAAGATGGAGAATTGTGGCAGGAGGGAGGCCTGAGTGTGTCTTTGCTGTACTGCTAAATGTCTGCGGAGTTGCAGCAAATAACTTAATCTCCTTGGGTTCCTGTTCCTTCCAAATATGAACCAGAGGATTTGACCTAGATTAGCAGCTTTCTAAATGCACTCTCAGGGCCTTTGGGGGTTCTGTGAGAGTGTGAGCAAGGCATGGATCCAGACTCTTTTTCACCTTATGCTGCACCCAGAACTTCCAGGTGACCTGATTGTATCTCAGCTGGTCCAGCACACTTGGGGGTTGAAAAACTAACTGCAGTCTGTGGATTTAAAAGTTTGTTTGTCTTCCCCAGTGACTACTTTTCAAAGTGCTAGCAGGCGTTACCAAGGCTGCTGTGAGAGACAAAACACATCAGTGATCTTACCCAATATTAGATATCCCTCATTCTATAATATCAACTTGCTAGACAAGATACAGCAACTGGCACAATAGTGGGTTGGCTGTTAAGGGGTAACTAACTTCTTTGATTGGATTGAGGTCTGCTTCACAGGTAATAGTGGTGTGGCTGTTATTGCTTTCTGCTTGGATTTGAGGCCAACTTTATAGGAAGGGATTTTATTTTTGGTACCATAACCCTGGTCAAAGCCATGGTTGGGGAGATCATGGTCCCTAGTGTACATTCTGCTATTGTTATTTTGCTAAATGGTCATGATGCCAAAGTAGCTTTTCAATATCAGTGTTTGCAGTCCTAGACCAGGGCCATTCTGGTCCTTGGTCAGAGAAGTGTTTCTTTGTAGTGGGCAGCAGTCAATAGAGAGGTATGCAACTGGTCACAGTGCTGAGAGTCAGAGACTGAGTGCTTAGCCTTAAATGGGTATTGCTATCAATCCCCCTCTCCTCATCAAGGCTCAGGGACACTGAGGAAGGGAGGTGGAAAGAATGTAAGAACAGGAGGAAGCACTGTGAAACCCTCTCTTCTGATACAACACAAGTATCACACTCACAAACTCAGCAGTTGGGATTACCTGCACAAGACCTGCAAAAGACAAGCCTACCCCAAATTTCAGCACAAATGGTATAGATGATCGCCCAGGCCTCACCACTTAACCGAGGAGCTATTGGCAGTGGGCGGTTTCCAGGAGTCCTTTTTTGATGTGGCCTTTTGAAGAGGACAGCTTGCCATGCTTCAAGCTGAAGTTGTTTCTGATTCATGGGCACATGATTCCTGGAAGGATTTGTGTCTTTTTTTCACCGCTGTGTCTCTACATGTAAAGTTTAACAACTACTTATTAGATATGCATATTGGGGAAGGTGGCTTCTAAGAAGGCCATGAAGGTGCATGCCAGAGGGCTGTAAGAGAATGGGCTCCTTAGTTCTGTATTGAGAAGGAAGTTTGCTCATTGTTGGTGGCCCTGGGGAAACTAGAGAAGGAAGGCCTGAGGGGACCTGTGGTCTCCCTCTGAAAGAAGGGTTTTGTTTCCAGTGGATGGATGAATATTACAGAATGGGATAGACCTACAGAAGTAGTTAGGGCTCTGATGTCTAGTCCTGAAGCAGAATTTCTCTTGGGATTTGATTAAGAGGGTTGAGCAGATTTGGCAGTTGTAGCTTGCAGGGAAGGATAAAACCAAGAGCTCAGTGAAATATTATTAAAAGTTCTCAGTGAGAAAAGAAAGAATTCAGGCATAGAACTGTAAAACCTAAGCCTTAAGGTACATTGTCTATACCATAATCTTCCAGGGCAATCAAAAGTTATAGATCAGGTAACTTTCTGCTCTTCAGTTTTTAACAAAAGGCAGAATTAAAATAAATTTGTTTCCTTTAAATATAAATGTTATTGCCAAGGTAGAGGTATATTGAGCCTTATGGCTTTTTTGTCCCTCTTATCATGAATCTTTCAAGGATAGCTTTGAGGAAAGCTTGTTAGAAAGTGAATTGTAATATCTGTGATAGGGACTCTGATGTGGGTGTAGGGGAGAGGTGCTGAGGAAAGGTGGGAACCCAGTTGAACTCTTTTGTGAAATATGAAAATTTACAGGAAAATTTACACGTGAGCTCTTTGATGCCAATTGTGGAATTAACTAAGCAGGAGCAGAGCAGTATAATCCGGAATGAGTTGGATGTGTCTTTATGCAACTGGAAACTACTGAGCTATGTCTTCCTGGCTGGCTGCTGTGTCTCTGCTGTCACTTTAGTTACCTAGGCAAGATTTTATGTTATGTCTACTGGACAATGTGTGTATTTTGTGGCTTCTTTTGGCATTTTCTTTGAAGGCAACCCTTTTCCTTTTACACAGAAATTTGTAAACTCCTAAGCACATAGATCTCTTTCTTTTACCAAAATATGTGTTTAGAATCAGAAAAATACCAGTTCCCTTCCTTCAGAGTCACCGCACAAGTCCTACATAGCATGGTGTTCAACTGCTACAGTGGTGGGGATTCAGTGCAAACAGGATCTGTTGTAGCTGCTCTCTCATCAGTGAACACGGTCTAGTATGTAGTCCTCTTACACACCTCAGCGCCACACGTCTACAAGCGAGGTGGCACCTCTGTGCTCAGCCTTCAGTTGTAATGTTTGTGACCTGCTTTCTCTTACAGATTCCCAGACTGACAACTATATTAAGAGTGAGGCTTGAGTATGCACCCGAACTCTGCTGCTGCTCACTGAAGCTAGCTACTCATTTGTCTACCTGAGATATGTGACTCCCTCAAATGGCACAGAGAATCCCTGTGGATTATTTCCTTGAGCTGCTCTACCTAGGAGAAGCCCCTAGGTTCCGGTGGTTATTTGTCCTTTGTTTTCAAAAAGGTCTTCAGCCTCCTCTGATGCAGGTGTTACTGGTTCTGACCTTTAACAAGGACCCTTAGGAGATTTTCAAAGGGAGGGAATATTAAATAGTAAGCTTCAAACATATATGAAGGATATGCTTGTAGCATACTGGAGAAAGGCATGGAACGAACTCTTGAGAAGTAGCATTTTTCCTTGAGCATCAGCTTGTTTGCTATTCTATTGATTCTTGTGAACTAATAGTCCCAGTTGTGCATGTGACTATCAATGCAGAGAAACCTGCCAGTCTGCTGGACACTTCTTAGTTTGAAACTGATGATACACATCTTCTCTGCACATATGCAGACAGGCAAACTTAAAAACAAAAGACTGTCACCATCATTAGGAAAGGAAATCAACTTTAAGTCATCTAAACCGCCCAGATAGGAGAGAGAGGCCAGCTGTTTGTTTTCCTGTCACTCCCTTCTCAAACCTGTTGTTAAATAAAAATAACAGGGACAGGGTGGCATCCTGCTGGGATGTGTAGAACATAAATTAGTATCCATGGAATATTTTATCCAATAATCTCTAAATACTAGTTATTAAAATGAAACTGTGCCACCTGACATTCTGATTTATAGGTCTCCTTTACACATTGATGGTTTTCTCCAATTTGTGTTTCTGAGGTATAGATTGCCAAGTGGATAAAGCCATTGATTAGAACTGTACCCCCAGGGCGGTTGCCGGTGTAATCAGCAAGTCATAAGAATAAAATGCATTAGTTATAATCCCTGGGCAGTCTTTCACATTCTGGAGGATTTAAAAGTCTCATTATTTTCAGTGTTATCAAGGGTTCAATTTTTTTTTTTAAAAGATCACATTGGTTAGGTTCTTTATTACACATGAAAAATATAAAAACAAAACAAAAACAAACCATACTGAATTATTTAAAAGCTGGTCTACTAAAACTCATAAACATGAACTTTACCACAGTGAGACTATAGTTTTAAGTTTTTGTTTACTTCTTTCGCAATTCCATTCTATAATTTCTCTTATCAATGAAATGAGACCTTGATAGTTATTTTGTTTCTCAGACCCTGTTTCATAGAATATAACTAAATGGTTATTAAAGGTTTCCAGATCAAACTGATTTTATTATGAGATTTTAACCTACATGCCACAAGAAGAAGTAACCATTTACAGGAACAGGAATAAAAGCTATAGGATATAAATTGCATTGAAAATTATTTAAAAAGTGGGAAGCACAGGGGGGCTTCATCTAATGAAGATTCTAGCATATGCACACACATGTACATGTATATATGTGTATTTCTATCATCTATCTATCTATCTATCTATCTATCTATCTATCTATCATCTGAATGTATTTTTCCCAAAGGAATACTAACTTTAATCAGTTATTTACTTCTAATGTCAGGGGGAGTGCAGACATTAACTAAGTATAAATGATAACACTAAGAAATGATATTTTTTACCTCATAAACTAAAAGGGCACTAGATAAGTAACAATACAAAGCCAATATTCTGTTAAAGGATATTGACCTGTGGTACAAACATGGAGAGTTTTCATATAAAGGCATCTTTGATTACCCATATTTTCATTTCTTTCTAGTCCATGTCAATTGAATAGCTTATTTAGAACAATGATTTTGGATAAAGTCCTGTTTTAAACTAATTGATTTAAAAATCATAGGGAGATTTTATTATTAGCATATTTCTAAAATCCTGATATATGGAAGGAACCCAAATGATGAATGTGTAAAGCACATTAATAGACTACATTTTCAGAAATGTTATCTGCTGCAAATATGTAACTGTCCTCTGCTTTTTCATCCAATTTCACAACTCCATGTGGACGAAAGTGCAAGCTGTCCATGTGCACTCTCATTTTGTTCCCTGGTTTTGAAATTACTCCCAGACTGCTTTTTCAAGTAATCATTACAAGAACCTTCTGAGGACGTAAGTGACACCTCACCCTCAGGGCCAGTTACTGTGAAGTTGCTGAAGCCTCTTCAACCAGCAGAGACCATTTCCTCTTAACTCTACATTACAGCTTCTAATGTTAAGAGAAGATAGGTTTGCTTTCAGGAAAAAGGAGAAACTTGGTACTTCTTTAGCATTAATATTTTGATCATCAATGCCTATAAGCCTTATTTTATTAATGCTGGTTTATGTCCCATTATTTTGAACTCAAATATTATGTTAAACTTTTGCAGAAAAAATTAAAAGGAAAAATTTCTGAATTTAACTGGGATTTCCAAATTTATCTCAGTTTTCAAGGGACAATGGTCATTTCTCCAGTTTCCAGATGCTGATGGCCAAATTCAAAGTATTCACTGAGGGATTGGATGTTTACTACCTACAATAGTGTTGTGAAGCACAACAAAAACTTTATTAAAAAAATGGCATGCTTTAAGTAGATTTAAGATAAAGATAGGAATTAAAAGCCCATGTCATCCTACACACACACACATACACACACACACACAAACACACACACCACACTCTCAAACATAGATATACTCACATATATACACACACATACCATACACACATATGCACAAACACACATATACAAGCAGATACACACATACACACACATAGTCACTCTCAAAAGCAGATATACTCACATAGACAGATACACACACGCATGTACACACACACATATATACAAGCAGACACACACACATATACAAGCAGACACATGCACACAGCCATACACACACACTCTCTCTTAAACATACTCACGTACATAGATACACACATACACACATGTACACACACACACTCTCAAACACATATATATACTCACATATACATGCACACATACACACATATACACAAGCAGATACATACACTCAAAAGTAGATTTTGGATGATGTGTCAACATTTTACAAACTGTAGATCTTCTCAGATCTACATAGATCTAGTCTCACAAGCATAGCTCTTCTCAACATTACAGTACCAAGTATGGCCAAATCAAGGGGAAGATTTTCTTTCTAAACACTTCTCTTATTTTCAGATAATTTTTGCCTTAAACTAGAAATGTAATTTTTTTTTTAGTATGGAGAATTGTATCATAGGCTTCAAGTGTACTGAAAATGATATTTTTTTTTTCAACTCACAAGTCACCAGTACCATATTTGATATCCACATTCTCCACAGGTCTGGGATAATCCCCTTCTACCACTACACTGTAATGTATGTTCTACATTAGACCGTTAGGACGGTCTAATTAGAGAAGATATTTTGGTTAGAGTCCTTTGCTTTCATTGGTTATGATATAATGCTGATTCTGAAATGATGGTAGGCATATAATGAGTGTGTACCTGTGGGTGTACTAGTAAGTCTCAACTTAAAAAAAGTAAGCAAAGCTATTTCAAGGTCCTCAGAAGGAGAGGGTCAGTTTTGGTCCAAGAACCATATTTCTAACCCAGGAGAGGTGCAGCCTCCTGCCTCAGCCCTGAATTTCAGGCTCACACAGTAACTGATTCTACTCAGTGAGCACTTGCACCTTGCCAGTCTGTGTGAATCATTTTAAGTATGTTGTTTCCTTTATTCCTCACTTATGGCATAGGTACGAGTCAGGAAACACTAGTGTCTGAAAGCACAGATTCTCGGCCTGAATAAGTGTGTCTTTGAACCACACACACACCTTTGCCACTTCTGTGCTAAACAACTTCAGACAAACTCAGCATCTTCATCTATAACTTGGGGATGGACAAAGAGGTAGAGATAATGCTGCTTAGTAGCTTATGCTGGGGTTGTTAAGAGCTCAACTATTTCTTGTTCTTAGTAATATCTTCCATGTTTTCAAGAGGAAACAGAGGCTTGAAGATAGCAAATGTGTCCACAATCAATGTAGTTAGCAAATGATCAAAGTAGGAAGTGGGCTGGTGTCTGTGTGACATTTTATCTTCCCACCCACTATCTTGGACTCCACTTTAATAAAAATTATTGTTTCACCCATTAGAATAATTGGGACTTTATTAAAACCTCTACTTTTAGAAAAACACTGAAGACAGACACAGTTGTATTTGGTTTTTCAAATAACTATCTGTGTCTTCAGAGCTGAGGCTCTAATTCCCTTCAGCCAGCAGAGGCCCTCCTATGGGAAGAGAAGGTGTAGCCACTTGCCTGAAGTTCCCTGCCTTCTAAATTGCTCCTAACATATGTGTCATAGGTGTTTTATTCATGGGGCCAGAACAGTGCACACACTTTGCTTTGGATTCCCTTAGCTTCCATTCTGGTCTTGAGCACTCCTGTTTCACTATTTCCTTACTATGTGGACAATTCTTACCATCTCAGATACATGTCCAATGCAACAGAACTGGTGACTTTGTTGGGTCCTCATCAGCAGCACATGCCTTTAAGTCCCCCATAGTCAGATCCACAGTTTTCTTGAATGTATAGTCATGTCTCTCCCCATCACTCCTTCTCATACTGGCAGAACATTTGTATCACAACAACAACAACAACAACAAAAACCTTTAAACTCTTTTTCCTTCACTAGAGAAATACTTTCCTCCCCTCTTTAATGAATGAGGAGGGGTACTAGCTCTGATTCATACTGAAGGGAGGGGATTTTCTTTTGACAAGTCTACAGTGTTCCATTTTGTTTGGGCATCACTATTAAGTTTAGACATGTCTTGAGAGCTACGCTTCTAGGATCTCTTAGGCCAGTAAAGGTAGGATCTCACATGGTTGACCACAACTCTTCCCAGTTCAGCTGCTTCCTGAAAATCTATTGCATCTGCATTAAAAGCTTAAAAGTTCCTGACTGTGACAGCAGCCTCGGCTGCCTGAACCTCCCAACTCAAGTGCAATTTGGGGAGGACACCCAGGCAGAAAGACAAGCCTGCCCTTTTACGGCGATAGGCAGGCCTGAGTTCTAACTTGGCAGAGAAGATTCATTAGGAAAAAGAAGGTCCTTCGGTTTAGATCCCAGTTTCTTAATGTCTCTTGGGAGATGAAGGCTCTGCCTGTATGCTTTCACAATCTGTTATGGCCTCTCCCCTCCATGGCTTTGAAATCCTCTCCTATTCACATGGTCACAAGGAGACAGCCCCAGGGCAGGATGGCAATGCTTCCTGGGGTCCGGGTTGGCTCAGCGCCATCCACGGAAGGGCTTCCAGCATCAGGCAGGGCAGCCTTTGGATTCACAGATGCCCACCACTTGGCTAAACAACAGTCCCACGCAATCTTCCTGTCCCCAAATAGCCTTTGCTACATTAATTGCATCATTGATACATTAAAAAAACATTAAGTGGCCTTTTCATGCTAAGGCAGCCATTTGAAGGAGAAGATACTGAAGGCTTGTCTTTGTGACCACCACTGATAACACTTCTTTTATTTTACTTTAGAGTTATGTGCTTCTGAGCAATGAGGGGCATATCTAGCATGTTTATAAAGAGTTGTACTTTGCTTCTCACTTTTATGGCATCATTTTCTAGAAAGGACTGGAGACTGTTTTGACAAAAGATGTCTTAAAAGACAAGGCTAGTTCAAGTTTTCATTTTGTTAGTTTCCAAAACACCAGGAGCCCATGGAAAAAGGGATAGTTTAAAGGTTATGTATGTGCAGTCTTGGTTAGAACAAAAGAAAGCAAATCCTTCATATAGTTAGCTCACTTCCACGAAGAGTTAATAAACAGCCACTGAATTAATTTGCCCTGTCCAGCTAACAGCTGCAGCCACAGCCCCAAGTTCCTAATAAAAAGAGACAAATGAATTTGTCTACAGTGGGTGCGTGCACCTGTTCAGCTTCCCACCCTTTACCAAGTGCATCTAGGTGTTCACTGACAAATGTCCCCAGCCTGCCAGGCCCACAGGCGTTCCCTGAAGGATGGGGAGATTCCAACCCCGATGGGCACATTTCATAGTTGCCTGTGGCAGGCAGCTGGAGGACAATGCATTTTGTGTGTGATGCTCTACTGGCCAGACAGATGGGAAGATGGCTGTGAGAGCCTGGAGGACTAGAGATCACGTATGTGGAGGGGTGCCCTGGGGACACTAACCTGGAAGATGAGCACTTTGAAGTGGTTGCGTCGGAGGAGTTGGGCATGGTTGCTCTCTAGTCTCTTCACCTGCACACTCTGCCTCTCCAGGCGCTCCCGGACTGCGCGTGTGTGAGCGCTGACCTTGCGAGACTTCTCCAACAGCTTGTTCACTGTGTTGCTGGTGGAGGCCTGGTACTTGGAGAGCTTGGTGAGGTCGTTCTGGATGCCCTTCACCGAGCCCTCCAGGTTGATCTGCCTCTGCTCCATGTTGTGCTGGTTTTCCCTCACGGTATCCAGCATGTTGACTAACTTATCCAGGAGTGTATGTACGGTGACAGCATTCACTTGCGAGTTGTCCCGGATGGCCTCGTCTGTGGACCCCAGGTTCAGGCTGGGGCTCGGTGTGGAGGAAGGCATTGGGCTGGGGCTGGATGGCTTCTCCTGGCGTATGTCAGCATTTGGGTGCTGGGACTTTTCTGCTTGTGCAGCGTCTTCTCCCATGGCTGGACAGATGGGAACCTACTTCCTGGCTGAAAGTTTCTTGCTCAGGCAAGAAGTGGGCTGGGGTGAAGAGAGCAGGAGCTCCGTTGGTCTGAACAGAATACCGTTCTCTAGGGCTAGCAGAGGTTCAGACAGGGAATAACTGGCTATGCTGATCAGGGGAACTGCATTCCAGCTGCTCTTAAAGGCCCTACTCCACCCAGTGGGAGGCAAAGGTTACAGGACCCACTGAGGGTTCAGCGACAAGCACACACTTCCTAACCACATTCCCCACAAGCCCAAGCTCTTTACTGCCTTCGCTTTTCTTTCCTACACCCCTTCCCTTTTTAAAACAAATCCCATGCCGTATTTCAATCATGAGTTCATTTAGAGGCGGGGAGAAACATGTTAACTTGGCTGAGCTCCCCAGCCTCTGATTGGCTAAAGCTAGTAAACTTTCCTCTGGCTGCTATGCTACAGAGAGCCTGTTTTTTTTTTTTTTTTCCTGGATACGAGTTGTGAGTTATTGTAACTGAAAGTATTGTTTGCTCTTGTCCCAGAGCTGACTGATAGGTTGCAGAACACCGAGTGCCCTTCTGGGAGGGATAGAGTTGAAAGGGTCTGCTCAGCCAAGTTTGTGGTGTTCCTTTCTTATTTGTTATAGAGTGGAAATTACACTGATGATGAAAAGGAAAACAGCCTGGTGCATCCTACTCTTGCAAGAGAGGACGCAATCCAACTTAAAAGAGCTTAGACTTCAGGGATGCTAAGACAAGTGGCCTTGCATGCTGTGAACTGTTACATAAGACATGGAAATCTTTTGAATGAATGCTATTTTTAGAATCACTGACTTTTTTTTTCATTTTTACTTTTTAAAAGATGGAAAGAGGAACCCCTCTCCCCAAGTAGTCTCTTTAAAAAGAGAAAGTGCTGGTTTGTTTCCACTAATTCTGAATTCATGGCAAGAATTTCTCAATTCCCACCCTTGTTGAGGCATTTATTGACATAGCCCAGAAGCGTGAAAGCAGGCCAGGTTGAGTTGGAGTGGTTCTATCTAACGCTTGACATCTTCAGATGCCTGCTCTGTGAAGTGGCACACCTGTTCTCACATGTGGCCCACCTTAGCGGGGCCTTTGGGATGTGGGGCTTATTTCCTAACATGATTTTATATGCTTGAACTGGTCTTAAATGTATCCGGACTATGAAAGTGCTGTTGGCAGGAAGTTTGTGACAGGCCTACCATGCAGGATTTCAAGAACAAACAGCAGCTTATACTGGGTCATGGGACAGTGTCTTTCTTAATCGCAATATCGCCAGGTGAATTCATGGATCAATAGCTCTGTGGTGGCATAGTTATTGGGTCCCTTATCCTTGGATCTGCAAAGTATGCAGGGAGTATCCACAAAGCATGGCCAGGAGGCTGCCCCCAATGAATACCTACTCATGAGGAAAACACATCAAAGACAATATGGAGACTCCCCTCCCCCTACCTACTGAAGGTGAAGCCTTTAGGAACAGAGATTTCAAAATTCCAAAAGAAGATTTGATTGGAGTTTTTTTGCCTTTTAAGAAATTAAGAAAAGTTCTTTAAAAAAAAAACGCACGGTTAGAAAATTTTAGTTGGACAAAGATATGTTAAATATTAAAACTAAAAAGGAATCTGTGTTGATTTTCAAAAGCGAAATTTCCTAACAAAATTATATGGCATCATGATACCATGTCCTTTTGCCTTGGACTTTTGTGGGTAAATCAGAGAGTGTCATTATTTCAAAAACATTGGAGCGCTTCATCAGTTTTCCAAGGGCCTCTCTTAACTTGTGTCATTTGAATCATTCCCTCCGAATCTCTTGTGCTGTCACTCATCTGGGTTTCTTCTCCCGAATGTTAACTGTTACAGCTGCAGATCCCCCTCTGTTGTAGGAACTGTCCATGACTCAAGGGCTCCTTTGACATTACCTTCATCAATTTCATGATTTCCTATTTTGAAAGATTTGCAATTTCACATTATAATCACTTCACTCTGATTTTGCATTGATGCACACAAATTTTGCATTGCATTGTTGGAGACTGTATAATCAGCTAGATGAATTGGGGGGGGTGTGAGGTAAGAAAGCACAGAGCTTCTTGTAAACTAGAAAGTTGGTATGTGGATTATTTGTTTGGTTCAGATGGGTTTCGTTCTCTAGCCCGGGTTGATCTAAAACTCAATGCAATCCATCTGACTCAGGCTTCCCAGTGCCAGGATTGTAGGTGTGAGCCATCATGCCTGTCTCTGTACTCCTTATGTTCTGACTTAATCTTAACCACAAATGATGTATCAACAGCCTACAGCTTTGTAACAAACCAGCCTAAGCTCAGTGGTTCACAGTAACTGCAACATCACTTACTCATGACTCTTTGGTTGTTTTGACAATGCTCAACTGGTACAATCATCTTTTCCTTGATTGCTCATTCAGCTGTGGTTTGAGTTGAGGAATGCAAGATGGTATGACCTTATACCTGATATCACTACTGAGCAGACAAGAACAGGAAGATTTCTCACTTTTCACATGTTTAGGTTCTGTATGATCTTTCTAGCAGGGAAACCAAACCTCTTTATGTGGTGTCTTAGAGTTACATGAGATTAAAAGCAAAAGCTACAGCTACTCCCCACTTGGCATATCCACAATGTGCTATGTCCTGAGAAGGCCACAAACCCAGCTCAGATTCAGAGGATAGGGATCTGACTATCAATTTATGAGACAAACAGCAATAACCTGTAGCAAAGAATGATTATCACAAGAAAGATTGCTATCACCATCTTTGGACATGATCTACCATGGTACAAATACATTCTCCAAAAAGGCTGTTGCACATAAGGCTTTGGTCATTGTGCAAATTATGAGAAGCTGTCTAAAGGAAACACTTCTGTTCAGAAGACAAAGGAGAAGAAGAAGAAGAAGAGGAAGAGGAAGGGGAGGAAGAAGAAGACAGAATGTGTGTGTGTGTGTGTGTGTGTGTGTGTGTGTGTGTGTGTGTGTGTGTGTGTAGTACCCATGGTAAGTTAGACCTGAGGTAACTCTGAGTATCCAAGCCTCTCTCTTGAGCTGCCCCAAACCAAGTACTGTGTCTTTCTGAGAGAAATCTGTGAAGTAAGCAACCAGTTCTCAGAGAATTTAAGCAAATGTAACTTAAGTCAACTTAAGTCTATTGCATTTTATGAAGTTCTTTACCAAGTAGGTAGTGTATAGAGTTACAATGTAATGAGCAATAAGAGTTTTTCTGCTGTTTTTGAACATGTGAGAGATGCTTAAGAAGATTGGTTCAGTGATCAAATGTAGCAGGGAGCTTATAGTTGAAAACACATGGAATGATAAGTAAATGCCAGGCTTTGGGGCACAAATTGTCTACTCTTAAAAGTGCTTTTGCAATGGGAAAACTAGGCAGTTAGAGAAATAGAAGGTCTACACTTTGCACAACTTGAAGAAAAGAAAGGCATATTGGAGCTCAAAATCCATCATGGAAGGGAGAGCATGGTGGTATGGATGGCACTAGCTGTGGCAGCCGGAGCATGGAACAGTAATATTTTGCAACAAAGAGTGAGGAACCAGGGAAAGATGAATGGTGGAACCTTCCCCTCCTTGTTTTCTCCCTTTAGACAAGGACCCAACCTAATGATCACATTCATAGTATGCCTTCACTCCACAGGAAACCTTTCTAGTGACCCCTCCTCATACTCCTAGAGGTGTATCTCCCTGGTGAGTCTAAGGTTTGTGAGAGTATGACAGGGTGTGACTAGGAATTCTATCAACACAAATACCTGTTCTAGTACCAATACTACTGCCAATACCAATACCAATACCTGTACCAGGACCAATATCAGTACCAATACCAATATCAATACCAGTACCAATACCACTAGCAGTACCAGTACCAATACCAGTACCAGAACCAATTACCAGTACCATTACCAATATAAATAGTACCGATACTAATATCTCAGGTTTATAAGTGAAGTAAGTACAAATATCTCTGTAGGATAATGCCTACTTTACTACTAGCTAGGGCTTTGATCCCAGCTAGTTAACCCATTCTGAATGTGACAGAGAATTTTTGCTTTATTACTCTAGCATCTTAGTTAATTCAATTCAAAACCTCTTTTATCAGTCTTTCTCATTTACAACTGTGTAGTAATTCTGGAGTTATCCGTCCTTCTCTGATGACAGTGACTAAAGCATTAAATGGTGAACCTAAGTGACCAGAGAAGGAGGGAAAGTTAGCTGCTTAATACATTTCCATTTGAGCTTCCATACTGGAGTTTAAAGGTCTTCCTAAAGTTGGGATGTCTTTTGAACAGGAAGCAGTTCCAAGGACATTTGAATATATTATTTGCAAGAACACAGTACAATGGGATATCTACATATTTTATGTCACCAAGTTTTGAGGTGGATTACAATTGACAATTGAATATTGAGAACATACAGTTGCATTGAAAATACTCTTTTTTTCTTCCAGATTTTTTTAAATTTAAATTTGAAAAAGCTTGTTTGACTTGTCAATCCCAATTCTCTCAACCTCCCCTGTTCCCCCCCACAGAAAATACACTTTTAAAGAGTTGTTATTAGCCTAAACATGCAACAGAATCCCTCTATTAGTGTTTTTAAACTTTAATTTTATATCTTTTACTTTTGGAGATTATAATGCAATTACATCATTTCCTCTTTCTCCCTCCAAACATTCCATATACCCTTCTTTGCTCTTATCTCCCCCCCCCCCGCCCCAGCATTCCTCAGTTGCCTGTAGTTTCTTGTGCAGGGTTGAGGTCCTGTGATTCTTTTCTCACTCTCCTTGTTATGTCTATTGTTCCTATAACCCAGCTCCCATGATAACTGTGATAGTTCCCATGTGTTGGGAATTAGGGAACTCTAAGAATTTGTCATTATAGAAAAGCCTTCCTGTAGTGAGGGTAAGACAGCCATTCTACCTCCCTGCTGTTGTTGTAGTCTGTCAAGTTCTCTTGGCCTTAGCCAAATCTGGGTGTACCAACGTTGCTGTGAGACCTAGGGTGACTGTTCAGGTGGCTTGCTGTTTCTGTCCTTGCTGCACCTTTTGGAAGTTGTCCATCTGCATTTCCTGTCTACTCTAGTATTGTTAATTTCCTTCTCAGGTCTTGATGAGGTTGAAGATTAAACTATCACAACTATTATTCTCTCTTCCTAGTTAGATATATTAGGTACTAGACTTACATTTTCCAGCTTAGGACAACTCTATTGTAAACTCCATTTTGCCCTCACCCTAGGACTAGATATGTAGGTCATTTTGTTCTCGATTTTCCTTTTCTTAGAGCACACTTGTTATTCACTGTTTT